TTAGTCAGTTAGTCAGTTAGTCAGTTAGTCAGGTAGTCAGGTAGTCAACTTAGTCAGTTAGTCAGTTAGTCAGTCAGTCAGTCAGTCAGTCAGTCAGTCAGTCAGTTAGTTAGTTAGTTAGTTAGTTAGTTACTACTACTGCTACTACCACTCCTGCCACTACTACGACGACGACGACTACTACGACTATACTACTACTACTGCTGCCATTAGACTTTTTTTGTGTTATTGTCTTGTGACACCAAGTTCCGGTCCGTAGGCTGAACCGGGGGGTGACATGGGAATACAGAGCTTTATTCAGCAAGTGGTATTTGTTTGAGGGTCCAGCATTGCACGCAAGATCTAGAAGGAGCAACGACTGGGGCAACTGATTTGGACATGATGTTCGAACTAGATGCTCTGCACAATGACTGTGATTCCACCCTCGGCTGCTCTCTTGAGGAGGTTGATCATCGCGTCTTTGAAGCTGCTCGGCTCGATAGACGGGACAAGCGATCCGTAATCAATGAGCTGCACCCAGTACCGTATTCACGGTTGATCCCGTCTCAAGGTCGAACCACCACGAGCTTCTCGTAAGGTTCGACGAGCAACAGGAAGGGACTGGATCCAATGTTGCTGCAAGTCGTTTTGTTGTTGATTCCGGCATTAGTGATGTCTCTAGACCGTAAAGCAAAGCATGACTCCACACACTGATTGGACCTGCAAATAGTGGCTCCATGCAGACAGTGTGTTGCAGGTTGTTTGAAACAAAGCTTCAAACCTAGGGACAAAACAAAGCCCACATGACGCGAGGAGCTGATTGAAAACATGATCAAGCATGCACCACCTGTGCAGCAGCGAGCCCTCGTGATCAAGCAGCTGAGCCACCCAGCAACCAATATTTCATCCTCAGCAGAATCGTGCGACTGTACGGAGATGTACGGCGGGCCTTTGTCCTGCTTTCGGGAGTGGTGGGCTCAACATGATGTTTATTCGGATATCCTCGGGGTGTACAGGTTGGCTGACATCTGGGGGCTGCATTCAATGTTAGATGGAAGACATGGGTTCTAAACGTGCAAGCCGATGCGTGCGGACACCTGATCCCTTCTGTACAGCGTGTATCACTGGCCCGGCTTTGGGCCCGAAGTGCTGCAGAGATGAGAGACTTGCAATCTCATCATCATGTTAACTCATCATGCCTCTTTGCGTTCTGTGTTGCATCTTTGCGTCACCCAGGGCTGCTAGTCTTGCTTGGGTTGTGCCGGTTGGGCTTTGGCCTCCGTCCGGGGAATTTAGCGCGGGCTTGGCTGAAAGAGGATCTCAGCAGTTAAGCCTCACTCAGGTGACGGGGCATCCTCGTCATCAGCTTCGGACCACCGGGGGAGGGGTCTGCTCCATACTGGTGGAAGCGATGATATGATTCGACTGTCGGCGACTCTGGTCAAGACCTGGGTCGTGGGATCAGAGATGCATTGTTTACATCTGGGCGCAGTGTTAATCACAAAGAACTTCAGCGTACTGTGCAATGGAAAATCGTTGAAAAGCGGTTGTGGAAAGCTATGCATAAGGAGTAAAAGCGGGATGAGCCAGAAGCTTCTGATCACAGTGCCGTGACGAATTGAAGCCACGCGACAAGCCGGAACTCAAGAAGCCCTGCAGGATGCGCCAGCTGGGAAGACAAACAGGAATGATGTGACGTTGCAGCATTTTTCCGAGAGACCAAGTATCCGCAGCAGAAGTAGACTCTGTGATACTGAGAGTGGCAGCTGTGGCTATGACGAGTGGAATATACGGTCCTGCAGTGTGCATGTGTGCGATGCGCCCGTTTCCACGATTCAAATCTTACTCTGGAATTGCTTGCACAGCAAAGCTGAAATCTGGCTGGTTTGCATGCCGAGGACAAGAAGCCCACGCTGTTCAGCACTTTCACAACACACGACATGCAATTAAGGCCCTTCGGCTCTTGCATTGGGTCTGCATGAGATTCCATCATGAGGAGAGGGCCGAGATTTTTACATGCAGTATCAAGTTGTGACGGCTCCTCGAGGCGGTTTGCAGGACACGCAGGGGTCGAGGATGCTCTAGTCTTATCTTGCACAAGCACAATGCAGATCTGAGCTGGTGACGTCCTAAGCAGTGTCCGGCAGAAAAGCCGTTGGCTTGCAGACACGTTTCAAGTTTGTCAACATGGCTCAACCAGGAGTAGCCTTAAAGAATGGTCCCGAGCAAATTCTAAGGATGGAAGCCACGAATGTCTCTGCCTCGCACTCCGTGCAGGCTTCGCGGATCTCCCGGCTGTCCATGAGCACACTGTCATACCGTGTCAGTGTGTCTCTGTGTGTGCTGTTTCTTAAGCTGACAAGGGTTTGCTTTTCACAATGCGTTACAAGCTGTAAGAAGACTGAGATCCTACGCTCATCCTGCTGCAGGCCACTCAGGAGTGGGCCCCGCCATCTCAACACTCGGAGAGCCTGTTTGGAAGAGTGGTGAAAAGCAACTCCTTTGACGTCTTCTTTTCACTGGTGGTGTTTCCTGGCTGCACGGCTGCCGTCTCTGGATTCTTGCCAACTTGCAAGGCCTCACCCTTTGCCATAGGGTAGGAACCAAAGTCGCTTGGGAGGCTTCGCTTAAGCCCTTGGCTGCTCGCAATGCTGTTTGCTTTGTAGGTCTACTGTTGCCACAGGCATTGTAAACCAGTCGTGTCGTGTGACTAGGAAAATCAGCATCAGTCTTAAGCCTGAACTCGCTTTCGTTGACTCCTCGGCAGTTGCGTTCTTAACGGTGTTCAGCAACTCGAACCTGATTTGCGTTTCTCTTGCTGCAGCAACAATCAGTAGGTTTCCTGCCTGTGACAGCTGCCCCGCGATGCAATTACCATACACCCGGAACTGCAACTGCCATGGCCGATGCTGTATATGTATCTGTGGGAACATGTGGGAACTCTTATCGTTGTTGTGGTTGCTGTTTTCGTTGTGCTTGTTGGTTGTTGCTTGTTTCTTGTCGCTTGTCGTGTTTTGTCATGGTTTGTTGGTTGCTGGTTGCGTGCTGTTGTTGCTGTTGTTGCTGGTGCTTCTGATGCTGTTGCGGTTGCTGTTGTTGCTGTTGCTGCTGCTGGTGCCGCTGCCGCTGCCGCTGCCGCTGCCGCTGCCGCTGCCGCTGCCGCTGCTGCTGCCGCTGCGGCTGCTGCTGCTGCTGCTGCTGCTGCTGCTGCTGCTGCGGCTGCTGCTGCTGCGGCTGCTGCTGCTGCTGCTGCTGCTACGGCTGCTGCTGCCGCGGCTGCTGCTGCTGCTGCTGCTGCTGCTGCCGCGGCTGCTGCTGCTGCTGCCGCGGCTGCNNCTGCTGCTGCTGCTGCTGTCGCTGTCGCTGTCGCTGTCGCTGTTGCTGTTGCTGTGGTTGTGCCTGTGCCTGTGCCTGTGCCTGTGCCTGTGCCTGTGGTTGTGGTCGTGGTGGTTGTCGTGGTTGTCGTCGTCGTCGTCGTGGTCGTGGTCGTGGTCGTCGTCGTGGTAGTCTTCGTCGTCGTGGTGGTGGTGGTGGTGCTGAGCATATCTAGTGGAGACATGATGGAAGCATTCCAGGGCCCAGTGGTGATAAAGCCACAGGCGCCATGCGATGCTCACGCGACGCATCGAAAACAACCTGTCAACCACACCCCACAGCCGAGAATCTCGAACGCAATCTTCATTGGCATCGATGTGCAGCTGAATCCGACCATGGCTATGAATCCGCGCACGCCTATCATGGCCACGTGGCTTCTGTTTCTCTGAGTAGCGGATTTCACTTCGGTTTTGGGGGACCTTTTGCTGTATTGCATCGCAGGGTTCCGTCCGGGCTCCGAACATGGCTCTTCTGAGAGCACGTGTAGCAAGCAGTATCTTGAATAGGATCAAGCTAGGTGTGACTTCGAGCACCTAGTCACTCCAGACTCTAGTCCGTCCTGAAAGGAGTTCTGCTCCTGAGGGATCTCCCAATCTGAAGCCGCCACCTACAACACCGAGGTCGCAATACAGTATTTCTACACCATTCTCTTCTGTATAGAGCTTGGCCTCCGCGCGGCTGCTCTCGGCAAGGAATATTTCTGCTCGCAGGAGACATTCAGGCTTCCAAGCAAAGCTCGGCACCTAGGTGCCTAGAGTTGTTAGAGGTTGGAGGACATGGTCCCGCAAAATTCGGAGACAGTAGCAGTAACACCATCTCCAATTCAGTGCTATATAGTCGTACTTGTAGCCGTTACAAACAACTTCACAGATGTTGATCGAACGATATGTCCCCCAAGCCAAATTCAGAATCCCACGGTCTGGGTCCTCAGCATCTTGTTCGTCCTAAACCCAAACACATACGTTATCCGTGTCTCATGGCATGTCTCCGTATTCCCTTTGTCTGACAAGTAGCAACAGTGGTGACTGTGTCGGCAGCGGCGACGGCCTTTGGAGTCGTCGTCATAGTCTCGATCCAACTCTTGGAACTTCAGAGTGCCTTGAACAGCGCGTGCATTTCGCAGGAGTGGGCGTGGGCAGCCCTCGATGTTTTCATCGTGCTTACTTCCCTTTGGGAGGTTTTCGTAGATACCTGGTATGCACTCGTCGATGCTTGGCCTTGCTAAACGCTCTTTTTCGCATCAGCATGTGCCGGAGATGTTGTCTTAGAGCGCAAATCACTCATTAGCTCGATGCTTTGACGCAATTGTGCCTGTCTGAATGAATCGATTTAAGTATGCCTGCAGCTGTACACTCGCACATTCATCTGTACACACATTCAGAGCAGGAGGGAACATAAACCAAGGCACATATTGTATGCATATATCACAAAAACTAGGGTTGCGCGATCCCTGCATTTGGCCATCCCCATCCACAGGAATGGTTGGGTGGTGTGCTTTCGATAACGATGGATTTAGGATCATGGCGGTCGGGGACTGCATTGCCCTCAAATACGCCTGCAGAGAGATCTCGCAGGAAGTGCACGATCGGGACGCTGGGAAGTTTTACGGCATATCTATGAGCCATGTCGGTTTTCAAAAGGGGTACCCTCAAGTATGAAAAACAACAGCCATTGAATTCTTGTTACGAAGGATGCAAAAGGCAGTTGGCAAATTTACAGAAATTGACAGGCTGGCGCGCGTGCACCGTACGTCCCCTCAGGAATGCACGCTACTGCTCAGCAGGCGGCTCATGCCGTTTTTTCTGCGGCGATGTTTTCGGGGTCTTGATTCTCATGTGTCATTGTCGCCGACAAGACTATGGTGGTGTGGTGGTTCTTTTCGCGAGTGATGTGTGGAACGGATCGGGCCTCGAGCTTCGGAGTTTAGTCCCCTCCCCCTCCCTCCTTGCGGAACAGGATCCGCCCCGCACGTGCTACACGCCCTTGTGTTTGGGGGAAACAAGTGGGAGGGGCAGCCATGGGCAGCCACAACGCACACCGCACAACCCTTTGTGACGCCTCCTCCCACCCCCTGTGATGTGGTGCCCGTGGGTCGCCTGGCTCCGTCTCGACTTGTTTCCCACCTGTCTCGCAGGGGTGGTGCCAGTGGTGTTTGCGGTTGGTTAGGTAGGCAGGAACATCGGCCCTCCCTCCAAGCTTAAGTCTAAGTGTTTTGTGTGCTCCCAGCATGACACCAAGCGGAAGCTGTAATCGTGGCTGTGTCGTCACATGCTCCGCATGTTGTAATTACACCGGCCGATTGGCTGTTCAGCAGCTACTTTAGGATCGTGGCCCCGACGCTTGTGACTGTCGCAGACAGCCCTTGCTCTGGCGGGAGGGGTGAGGGGGAAGGGGGGGGCAGGGGTGGAGCAGGGATCGGGGCTGCTCGGGCCCCTCGGGCCCCTTGTGGTGCAGCGTGGTTCGAGGTTTGGGTGCCCATGCGGTTTGGGTATGCTTGGGTTGTAATTCGGGTAGCGAACATATTGTATATATCCATATATATATATATATGTATATATATATACACATTTTTTATGTAGTTTCAACTGCATGCTGCACATCCTCTTGGCAGTGCGAGATAATCTGCCTGGATCTATTTTACAAACACAAAATCGAAAACTCAAAAACAAGTACCTAGGTCGTAGACTCTGGCAGTAGGGAAAAACAAACGCAATTGCACCAGGATCGAATTACAGGCCCGTGACAGTGGACCCAAGGAAGGAGCAGCATGATGGTGATGATGATGATGATGATGATGATGATGATCACGATGATTGTGGCACCAATCCGTCGCATTGAGATAATTGTTTGATTTGGTAGGTGCAAGTGTGTGACACAACATTTGCTTTGTGCTTCGCTCATGTTTTTTTTTGGAGGCACGCTTGTGCATTTGTACACGTGTCTGGGCGCATTGTCCAACCCGTCCGCCTTGCATCTGCCTAAGTGTAGACTAGTAGCACAGCACCGTGTCCGCCAGGAATTTCAAGCGGGGAGCACGAGTCAGGCAGTTTGAAATCTGGCAACATTGGCCGGATATCGCAGGTTTGCATGGCGATGCTGCTGACGGCCTGGGTGCTTGCAGAGAAACGTGTAAACAACTGGATATCACGTCCTGGATTCTGCTGTTTATCGGTTGTCGCATGCTGTTTTGCTGCAACGGGGGGTTTACTTGTCCCCCGTAAACGTGTTGAAAAGGTCTAGGTGACTTGCTATACTGTATGAACGGGTTAGTAGCCCAACGCAACGCCACGCTGAACAGCTGTGTTCGATTAGATGCAAACAGAATGTGTTCGCTAAATGTTTTTCGTACTGGACGACGACGAGAATGGCAAGCTGGTTCACTGTCTTTCTGCATTTCTTCATTGCGTTCTCCCGAAGAGAACTGGCTTTATTTATTGATGTGTACACCACAAGGTCCCGATGCTTTCCGACCCGTCACGTGGAAACGATACAACTTGGCAGCAGCGTGTTCTCACATTGTTTGATTAGTGCCTGATAGCGTACATGAATGTGTATCTCAGCCCAGCCTTCATTGCTATTTCTCATGTTGCTCGCCTGAGTTTAAGTTGACACAGGGAATGCGCCAGAGACGATGGGGTCTCCACCCGTATTGCCGCACCACCGCCGAAGCTCCGAAGCGCCGCTTAAGGATGACGGTTCGACGAGTATAGACAATTTCGGAGGCCTCGCCGGCCTCAGAGCTTTCAGGACGCAGTCTGCGTGGAATAGGCTTTGGGCTCCAATTATACTTTACAGTATACTATAAGTTATAGTAAGGAACCACCCAAAATAATAGTCGTAATCATTTGTCTATAGTTTAGGGCCGTTTAGCGCAGGTCAGGATTTGGTGATTGCAAAGCACTGCTCGACGATTCCTGGATGTGATTCTCCCTAGTACTGCTGCCACCATGCAAGCTGTTCAGATTCGCAGCATGTGGGAGCTAGCCCTATACACAACACAGCGGGGAAGGAAATGTCTTGTTCGCTTTGCAAGACAAGCCTCCCTCGAAAACTGAACCAGCCGCTGCCTTGGAGGATTGTGCGAATCACGCGCATCGTGAAGACCGTCCGCCTGATGCGCATCTTCCGGTTTGTACTGGCATTGCGGACACTTGTCTACTCCATACTTCACACTTTGAAGGCTTTGCTCCTTGGCGGCCTGGGAGAAACGAACCGAATGGGCCGGGCAAGCAACAAATCGATCGTCTTGCACCACCGTGCAGAAAGGCAACTTTGATAGGTTCTGGCGTATCCAGGAATCCAGGACGAAGTGCGACGTAGGGCAAATAATTTCTGAAGCTGGTGCAGTGATCGTCAGGTTTTGGGCATTGGTGCTGCTTTTTCTCATTATCTATGTGTTTGCGCTCATCTTCACGCAGGCTATTAACGGCACCTCGAAGGCAAGAGCATATCGTCAGCAGCAGCATCTAGAATCTAGGCACAAAGGACGGATGAAATCGAGCGTGATGGGGGGGGTGAGACTCGAGACCAATTTTGTGGCTGGCGTACTACAGGTCACCTTCACGATCCTGAAGCTCCACAGCTGCCCGCAGCAGAGCTCGAAGTGAGTCTGCAGCTTGAGCGCATTTAGTAGAGCTCGTCCTTGCTACTGCTATCGGTTTCCAACTCCGACCAACCCATAACAACTGCAATGCGACCATGCAGCGTCCTAGCCGGGTGCCACGCCATCCACAGAGAACGGCCAGGACCTTCTACGGCACTCTGATTGACACAATGGCCAGCCTCTTCATGAGTGTGACAGATGGTGTGAGCTGGGAGAGCCTTTGCGGTGCACTTCTGCATTGTTGCTTTCCCTGTTGCAGACGTGGGTCAGGTTGACTTCTCCCGCAAATCTTATCCACAAATTTCCACGTGCGCAGGGTTTTCAGATTGTTCGGAAGGAAGGTCGGATTGGGCTGTGTTTGCTTGCCTCATATGTTCAGCAGGCTTCCTTGTATTGTGCCTTGCTGCCGAACTTGAGTGAGCCAGCACAGCACATGTTCCCGCCAAGAAAGGAAAATTTACCGGCCCCTCTACCTGATCTCGCCGTTATGGAGCTTCCTTTTCCTGCCTCCCTGGCTGCAGATGGTATACGGTATACGTAGCTTCTTTGAATTCTCAAGACTTGTGTCGTCGTTTTTCCGTTCAAGCTGGGAATTGGGACAGGTGGTCTAGCAAGCTAGCAACTGTGAAGCTTCGGAACATGCAAGTAAACGCCCGTTCCCAGTCCAGGATTTGATCTCCGATGGTACTGCTGGGATTCGTACTGGGATCCTTTGGTGTTGAGGTATAGGAAAGCCATGAGGAGGCAGAGCACATTTGCTATAGTAGCCACGAAGACAAGGCTGCATGTCGGGCCTGCCTTCCCGTGACACTTGGTATGTGGTTTCAATCGGCACGTGTCAGCACAAATACGTTGTTGTCAATAGTCTCCAGATCGTTGGTGTTTGTTGTGGAAATCAGCTGTCCAAATACATCAGCGTGAACATGGTCCTGGTGCACGCGGACAAATCTGGACAAGATGCCCAAGTTGCGGGCAAAGGACGATATCTTGGACAACAAAGAAGCCGAACAGTCGTCCACATGCATACGCATATTTATACACATATATGTATAGAGCGATAATTCGAGATTTATCTATCTTTTCGTCTATCCATCTATTGATCTGCAAGTCTGTCTATCTGTCCATCTATCTACTTATCTGTCTATCTATCTCTCTGTCTGTCTGTATGTATGTATAATATATATATATATAGACTACATATATATATATATATATATATAATTTACGTTATGCACATGTACATACAGACACATACTCAGCGTTTGCATGTCGTGCTTGCGATCATGTGTTGCTTCCGTGAGATGAGGTTTTACGTGTGTTTTGTGTACTTCGCGGTCCTCAATGTGCTGACGGCAGTCTTCTGAGCCTTGTCACTTCTGATCGGGTATAGGGTGGCCAGTAGATGAAGAGCTTGATCATGTGGTAGGAGGCAGCGTGATATCATCAGTTCCAGCTTGCGGCTGCCTGCGATCAAGATCGTACTGCTGGTAACGCCGGTAACGCTGTAATGATTCGACAGCGTCCACAACTCCACGAGGGGCCTGTGACTACGATGATGTAGTTTGTTAGTTTGTTGTTTGCCGCGATGGTGTTTCAGTCGTGTCTCGCAGTGCTTCACCCCGGTAAAGGTCAGAGTGCCATCGAGAGCGCCGAGAACGATCACGCGACGGCCGTGCAGAATATGATGGCCAACAAGGTCGGACTCAGAGTTCAATTTCAGCTGCAGCTCCCAAGCGTGGTGTGTATTCGACAACAACTGGAGCTTGTTTTGGTGAGGCCAATTGTGGTTCGGTTTCGGTTTCGTGGTAACACAGAAAAAACGAACAATCTGGACTGAACGTGGATACACTCGGGGCAGATTTTCTCGTCGGCACTCGTTCGTGTAATTATGGTCGCTCCTTTGTACTTCCTGGGGGCCCCCCGGCTGTTTCTTGTCCAAAGCAAATCCCGTAGCCCGGCGGTTGGCCAGTAGGATCTTCAACGGGTGCTTTTTTGCACATGTACATGTATATATATATATATATATGTATAAATATATACACACACATTAATATATCTGTAGTTGTAGTTGTATACACGCATACATTGTCACATACATACATGCATATTTAATCATATATATGTATATATGTACTTGTATACATAAAGGCAAGCCATCAGGAGATGCACTTGAAAAAGATCCGGGCCCTCTTCAGCCAGTTGGGCAACGAAGAGTCTGGCGTGATCACCTTCGGCCAGTGCCGTGGCCGTCGGGCTTAGGGCGTTTGCATACCTTAATATCGTTGATTTTTTGTGAGTGCAAGTTAGCTTGTTCTTGCGGTTCTGCTGCTGCGTGCTTACGGATATGCAAAGCTATGTTCGTGCGCATGTTTGTTTCTTCAATCCTGGCTTGTCCGAATCTGAGAGCCAAGTTAGCTATATTTGTGCGCAGTTCAATACTGTATAGGATGTTACATGAGTGTCTTCTTCTGATACGCTACATTGTCATTATAATTCATGATATGTGCAGGAGACCCGCGCTTCAGTTTCGGCCCGAGGTTTGAGTCCAAGATCCACTCGCCAGAAGTCCGCGAGTACTTCGAGACCCTCGGCTTGGATGTATCTTGGCACAGAAAAGCTTCGCTTTTATTGCAGCAGAAACCAAAAGACACAAACCGTTCTCTGAGTCCTAAGCAAACAGTATGTCTCCGCAGGTATGTGCACGTACGTATGTAGGTAATTGTAGAAATTGTGGGCATGTCTTACATATAGAGAGAGAACCCGTGAGCAACCACGCCGCTAGAACCAGAAGGAACGGACACTGGAAAAGGCGGAGGCTGGCCTCAATCCTCGTTTCTGGTGAAGCTTGCATCGAAAGCTGGACCCGCGAAGGCGGGTTCTTTAAGCCTGCCAGGCAGTAGAATCTGCCTTTGGAACGGGCAGCTGCCGACGCAAAACCCTTGTGCCGCACCATAGCCCAACACAGTGCAATTCCTGATAGTTTTTTCCAAGCACGCGACAAGCCTGAGGAGATGTTATACCTTGCAAATCACACCACGAGGCCCAAACAAACATCATAGCATGTCTGGGGAGGTTGTACAGGCTAGGTCATATAGGTCCTCAGAGCTTGTTCTGGAGAAGTTGCCGGGTGCGAAGTGTTAGACCTTGCAGCTCCTCTCTACTGGTGGCATCTTTCTACAACCCAAGAGGGAAAAAATCCCGATCCTGCTGCAACCACATCAACCACGATCCTTGGTTTTCCGTCAGCTCAGGTCGAGGATGCTTGGAGCTTCTTCAAGCTCTTGGACCGAGACGGTGGTGGATCGGAGCCTCGCTTGATGTTTTCCACAGGGACATGCATATGTTGCGCAGACCATGTTGGGTGCAATGGGCGCAAGGGGCTCTGCTGTAGGCTGTAGACATCCGGATGCTTTTGCTAGTTTAGAGAATCCATCACACAAGATGCTGAACATTGCAGTGCTTGAACATTCGGCCAGAGCATATCTATTCCTGGTCAGGTTGAAGTGGCCGAATTCCTGAAGGGCTGCCTGCGATTCCGAGGCGTGCTGGAGAGAGCAGAGCACGCTCAGATAGCTTCCCACAACAGTATCCGAATTAACGCTGGGTTTGCATGAACATCACCTGCATCAAAACCTCGATTTTTTGCTGGCATTGAATTTGCAACAATTTGCAGTTGAAGATCAAGTGCCAGCACCTGTCTTCGGTGGGATCTGAAATACGCTGAGCCACCAGACCGGACAGAGTTTGCAACTCCAACACCTCTCCATTCAGCTTCATTTACAGGCCCGGCCCAGGCTTAACTCTGGCCTTGCGGATCCAGGCAAGCATCCCTTCCGGTACACTTTCTGAGACTGCATCTTCCCTGCCAGATTGCCACGTTAACGAAACACAGTCGAACGAGAAGGAAGCACGCAAACGCACAGTCCTTTTGGTGGAAAGTGTGCTGAGTCTGCTTGTTCAGTCCTCTTAGACACCGAGTGAGTTCCTTGGCAGGTCAGGCCAGGGCTATAGACATTGGACAGCTGCTCCACGATCAGGGATGGCTACTGCGTGCCTGGACTGCAGTACCTGTCATCGGGGATTGGTACTGGCACCCCCCGCAAGCCTGCTTACCGTCTAGCGTCTAGCCTGTACCTCGGCTTTTCAGATTCGCAGACCTGTGGTGCGAGTTTGTTTCAAGGCTCAAGCAGTATGCGCACTTGTCTGGTGCAGTGCTTCTTCATGTGTAAGGACACCAAAGCAGATTCCACACTTACATGGAAATGGAGCACCAGAAGCTGAAGCAGCTTGGCGGGCTTTGTTGTTTGCCCTGGCTGGTTTTGACCTGGTGCCCTTCACTCGACTTAGGGGTTGGAGGCTCCATGACACGGCACGAGAGAAAGAGAGAGATTTCCTCCTGGACCCAACTTTCGCTGTGAGGGCCAGGTGAGATATGTGAGATTTGCTTAGTCTTGCCTGAGGAAGCAGATCTCCTCTTTAACCGCTATGTTGACGACCTCGTTGGATCTCAAGCCGCGGCACAAGCCGTCGAAATCGGAGAAGCCGGGCCAGCAGGAGCCGGGCCGGCAGGATGAAAGTGCGATGGCAAAGCCACGCACCAAGTTTGTGTAGCGCAAAAAACCGCCGCAGCGCCTTTTTTTGCTGCGAAGGCGAAGGCTAAGGCCGAAACTCCGGAGAGACTTTGTGTTCGATGTCGGCATGTGAGCCTGGGCCCTGAGTCGCCCAGCCATGCCGAAGCCCGAAATTTGCCAGATTCCATACAATTCAACGGGCACAGAATTCCGCTGGGCGAAGTTAGGGAGCTCTAGGTGGTGGATAGTTTGTTCGTTTTGAGTGGAACGTGTGCGGTGTGCTTGCGCCACCGACACTAAATCTCCTGCAGGTGTCACCTGGGGCTATCACCCGAGCGTGGTTGCAACTGCTCTCCACGAGTACCTGCCGTTGCAGCAGTGCCCCTGGCACGAAGCCAAAACTCGCTTACGGGATCCTGTTTCCAAGCATTTCTGAATCAAGGCTACTGGCAGGCCTTGCAAGCAGCCCATGCTGGTGCAGGGATGACTCGCTTGCTGACTCCGGCAACAAAACAAATGACAGCTAGCACTCTAACAGGGTACGGCAGACTCTCATTCCAACTTTTACCTCTGACCGTCCATTGCAGCCTGCTCTCCTGCAAGCGAGATCCGCCCTTGATTGGAAGCATCGCGGCGGCTTGATCCAATACATTCGATTCCGTGCTCGAGCGTAGATGTTTTCAAGAGGCTTCATGCAGCCGAACCAGCTGTGCGTGTGGCAAAAGTGTTGCGATCGATCTGCACGTTTTGTCAGGAGTTAAGAAGCTGAGAAGTGAAGAGTCCTTTCTTTTGGAGGACCTACGGGTATTTACGTATTTACCCTCATGTTAGAGCGCGGTTTGCCAGGTGGCTGCTCGACGAGGCCGAGGAGCTGTGACTTGACCCCACCATCCAGTTTCGGGAGCAGAAGTCAGAAGTTTGGCAAGCCAATCATGTACTTTGATGCTACCTGGGACTAGACTAGAGCATCTTGACACGATCCTTCCCATGCAGCTTCGTAGTGCCAATGAGGGCCCTTCGTGATTGGACTTGCTTCCTGCAATCTGGAGAGTAGCAGTGTTCGGTGCGTACACACTGTCCACAGGGTGGCTTCATTCGCATGGTGCCCGCGCACGTAAGGCGAGAGCCCTCAAGTCAGTTAATGCTGGAAGCCGGTGGCTTTACGCAGGCTACATGGCATGAAGACAGATATAGATTAAATTAGATTAGATTAGATTAGATTAGA